GTATATGAATTCAAATTAGTTTGAAGTAAAGCTTGTTTTAATTTTAAAGAATAAAACATGAAGGTACTTATTTTTCTTTACAGTAGCAGTCACATACTAATGACTGAAAGGGATAGTTTTCTTTTTAATTGCAATTCATTTTCTTTGAATTTGTATGCTTGTCTGAAATCATCCTGCTTTAAGGAAAATTTTGTTCATTTCTAGAGTTAAGAGCAGTGTATATTTTTAACATCACCTTCACAGCATATTTTTCCCCTTGTTAATTAATATTCTGTTCATTGAGTCATTCATTATTTAAGGCAACTTTGTAATCATTATTAGCAGACTTCAACATATCTTATAACATGGGTCAATTTAATCTTTCATAGTGCGAATGGAAAATTTCAGGTTTGGCACCAAAATATCAAAAATATTAATTGCTACTTCATATGAGCAGTCACATAATATTATAATGTATTCCTTACCACTTAAAAAGATGATACCACAGAGTGATTTGTATAATCCAAGTTTAGGTACTTGGTACTTTAATACTTTGTGTCTATGAGAAGTCTCTATGGAATCTGACATAGCTGCCTACAAATCCTAAGGAACATGTAGCCCTTAAATAATTACTTATCTGGCTGAGCAGCTAGTCAGTGCAGGGATGGCAGAAGTGTTCAAGGTGACACAGTCAGAAAAATCAGCAGCTGAAAGGTAGACAAATGCAGATCTGCCCTGAAGAGGTATACTGATCAGAGCAGGGTTTCACTGTGTTAGAAAAGGAATAAGAATAAAATCACAGAAAGGTAGCAGTGTTAGAAAAAGGAATGCAGTTGTATAGAAAATCAGCCATTCTCAGTGCCAATATTATGGCTGGAGTTTTTCCAAGAAGAAATGGAGGCTCAGTAAAGAGTAAACTGCGTAATCTTCCTATTCCAGGTGGCCCAAGGAAAATCCCTGTCCTATCCACCACTGACATAGTTTTATCAACATATAAATAGCTATGAATAAAAGAAGCAAGTAATTACCCAATGCAGTGAACATTTTTGGTCTATCTCCTTGGTGGACAGATTTGGGAAGGTTGGAGTTTTGCATTCGTAATAAAGGAGGGGAAGGAGTTGGATTTTGTTTAAATGATTAAAATTTGGCCTGAACAATTCTTAGGTAACTTGGATCTGTCCTATAACAGGCTACCTCCAGATGTGCCCACTGTGATTCATAAGCAGAATATTTTTGATACAAATGACCTCTTCTGTCCTGTCTGATACCTTTATTTTATGGACGAAAAACCGAGATGGCTCAGGGCTTGCTCTGCTCTGAACTTACAGAGTCAGCTCAGAAGAACTACCTGAAGTCTTTGCAGCTTAGCGTTTCAGTAAAATTGATAAGATAAGCTAATAGCTCTAAAGCTCCCTTTCAGTGCTAACAGTCAATAGTGTAGAAACATCCTGTGTTCATTCTTCTTGGGAAAATGACTCCCTAAGTGTTCTGAGGCTGGTAAGTGCTTTGAGACTGAAGCATGATTTATTTCTAGAGCAAGTGTAGACTGAGGTGAGGGTGGCGGGTCTGTGATAGAGATAGGTTGACCCAGGAGCATTGATTCAGTACCTGAATGAAGCATCTTAGACATGTCACTTGGGACTGGTAGAATTTATTGATATGGATTAAGATCCAGTGTCCATCAAAGCAGCAGGTGCTGAAGAGACGTGACTACTCTGACAAATGGCCTCCCCACCAGCTGCGTCTCTAATATGTCACTTAGTAGTAATTGGGAAACACCTCTCTGTTCTTTCCCACACATGGTGTCCCTCCCTACTTTCAAATCCTATGAATACCGCTAGCTCTAGTGTCCAACAGTGTACTAATACACGGGTAAGTATTTATCAAAGGGGAACTTGAAAGACTTAACTCCATCGCTCCCAATATTTCTTAACAGTCCACAAAAATAAGCCAAATAAGCACAATAACTGTGCAGACACCATATCCTTGACAAGGGCAGCTCTTAGGACATGTCCCCGCAATCTCTCTCCAGGTACACTGCCACCTGGAATTGTCCTGCACACACATTCTGGGAGCTTCAAATGTGGTTTCATACGAGCCAGCGGTGTGTCTGGGCTTTGCTCTCTTGTGGACTGAACGGCTTCACTTGTAGGGTCTGACCTGAAGTGCAGAGAGTATGACAGCAGTTGCCTGCTGAGTCTTGGATCTGAGATGTTTGGGGCTTCTTCTTATGGTTGATCATTCCACTTTGGTGCTGAAAGGAGAGAGCCGACACAAGGGAATAAGGGGCAGCAGGACACTTTCCATCTTGGTGAGATCGGTGGACTCATATCTGATTAACATCATCTCATACACGCTTATAGGGTCCATGATGGAAGTTTTACTCACTGTTGTCTGTTTTGCCCACTGCTGTGGCTTCAACAGCTAGTACAGTGCTAACACCTGATGTAAAGCAGGTCAGCGTACATTGGTTGCCAATCTGCATGGGTGCAGTGAGACGGAACTCATTGATATACAACACATAGGAAACAGTTTTATTACTTATAGGTAAACAGCAAGCAACAAAGCAGCTTAAGATTCATTATAAGCTCCTCACCTAAGTTTCAGAAAGCTACCCATCTGGATGCATTCTTGACTATGCATACCCCACTTGCAAAGGTACCAAAAAGTGGCCACCATGGGTTTTATGTCTTGGGTGATACAAGACTTGCTGAGCTAAAGTGTTAAAGAGCGTCATGTTCTAGGAGGGCTGAGATAGAGTCTGACCTGTTCACTCTAGTTCCCTTGTATCTCAGGATGTTGTATTTTAGCATATTCTAGTTATTCTCAAGAGCTACCACTGAGAGAGTACAGAAATCTGGGTCACTCAGAGAACTGTCCTTCATGTGGCAGGCCCTGAAGCAATGTGGATTAACTGACCAGTGAGGGAAACACACCGTGCAGTGCTTAAGAGCACAGATTCTGAAGCCAGACTGCCCACATCCAAATCCTAGCCCCACTGTTGGATAACTGGAGATGAGGATAAGCAAACTGCCATTTTTGTGCTTCAGTTTCTTCATTTTAGAAGTAGAGAAAATAATATTGAACTCAAAGATCATACAGTTTAAATGAATTAATGGCTTTAAGTTGATTATACCAGTGCTTGGCATGCATAATAAATTATAGATTAATCAACTGCCATGCCCTCAATTCCTTTTTTATCATCATCAAACTTGTTTTTGGAGCTGAATGTTTAGTTTGAAATGAACCCAAACACACTTCCACTGTAGGATATTCAGCTTTGCATCTTTCCGCTTATACTATGCTCAGACACATCCCCCCAAAATACCTGAGATAGATGGTGTTCAGTGGTTTGAAATAAGCGTATGAATTACTCAACAAGTGACTGTATTATTTGGCCTATTTTTCTACTCCCAAGGAGGTAATCACACATTCTTCCCCCTTTTGGAAGTCCTTCCTTACTCATGGCTCCCCCATCTCCTACCCACCTCCCCAGTTACAGTCACCTCAGCCTGCAAGTCCCATTGTTGTTTTCAGCACATTCTGCTTTATCAGCTTCCCTGGGTAACCCCCTTTTGCTTTGTCCTCCTGTCTGTCCTCTCCTCCTTCCCTGTCCTCTCCTCATGGCATGCAAACTTTAACATTTGCATTGGCAATCTTGCTTTGCCCTTGCCTTTCATTTTAAGCCAGGTCAAATCCTTTCGGTAAACTGAAAAAGAATTAATTGCAAACAAAGCCTTATTATTCTTGTTCTTCACAATCTTTTTTTCCCCTCTGACTTTCATAAGCAATTCAGGCTCCCTCCTTGTTCCTTAGAAACACCTTCTCACCCTACAGTTTGCAACCTTTTATGACAGTATTTTTTGAATTTGCTGTTGTGCTGGTTTTCAGTGTTCTGTTGGTCAGAGCTGTGATTGATTACCACCTTTACCAGATTTGACACTTACACACATGGAAAGGGACAGGAAGCAAAGCAGATGGTGTGACCCACCACCCAATCCTCTCACACCAGTTTCCACTTCTGAGGCATTTCTAATCTGTCCAATGGACAGAAATGACATATAAGAAACATTTAGACAATAGCAGAAGCCATCCCTTAAGACAGATCTTAAAACCATTTGCCTAGAAACTCTGAACTATTCCAGAATCTTCTTAGCATGGGATCACTCTATACAAGATTAATTAGTTATGCATTTGGCTGTTCTTTTAATGTGTCATTTTTAGATATTGCCACCCCAGGCTTTTTTGTGTGATAACATCCACAAAGACCTGAATCTTCTTTTGCCCTTTATCCGTGTATTGTCAGGATGCCCAGGGCGAACCTGCACGCAGACGATCTTGTGAACACCACTGAAAGACAGTCACTGCGTTCTGAAGGAGCCCAGCTGTGGCTTGTGTGGGTGCAGATGCACAGCTGGAAGAACTGAAAGCTCCTGGCTTCATCCCTTTTCCCTTCCTTGGAGGAGCCCTGGGCCTCTGTGTGGCCTCAATAGTGAAACTGATTTCCAGTGGCCCGGCCTGTAGTCACAGAGCTTGATTTTTCTTCTTATTATAAGAACCATTTTTCTTTTGTGTCTTTACCAGCTCCACCCCTCTGGGGAGCCACAGCAGTAGATTGGTTATGCTAAACACTCCACCTCAGGGGTTTGAATTTGATTTTTTCACCGCAACCTCATCGTTTATATAGTCGAGATAGACTCATCTTGAAATTTCACAAAGGCACTTAATTTTGTTTTAAGTCATATCTCTAGATAATTTGTACCTGCGATATTTCCAGTTCTCTCTTGGATTTCCTGGGAGGAGTCAGCAATGCAGGATCTTCAAGTGCATGTCCTCTTCCTTTCCTCACCATCAATGCTAATTAATAACAGGGAACTACGCGATGTGTGTGGGAAGGTGTTGGTGTCTTGTCTGCATATACGCCTCTCAACCATGAAACTGATACAGATACACATAACGATAGGAACAATGCCAGGGATGTCCAGAGAATGTGACGTGGACCATTATTTTTTGTCCTCCAGTGTCTAGACCTGTGGAAAATGCATTATGCTTGGGACCTGCCCCTTCGGCCTCTCAGCTCTGCAGTGTCCCTTGCTCCACGGACTGCATAGTATCTTCCTGGTCACCCTGGGGCCTGTGCATCCATGAAAACTGCCGTGATCCTCAGGGGAGAAAAGGTGAGTGCCTTGCTGTGTGGACTTCATTTACTTTCAGAGTACACACATTTGTTCTGCCAGCTAAGTAGCTGATTAAGCCTGTCTAAGACAATATTTGTTTATAAAATTTAGATAACCAGCTCAAGCCTGACAGCATTCAGTTGTTAGGGAGGCAAGTGGGAACATTTCAGCGGAGCACAGGACCTGACCTTGAGTGACTTTCCAGTCAGGCCAATCACCGGTGAAGTGATTGTAATTCAATTTGATGTACCTTAATGTTTTTACATACATATAATGGTTATAGTGAGGACATTAGACATGGCTTCTGTAATTACCTTTGAACCTGTTCTCGTTATTGATTTCTTTCATTTTTAGATTTCCACATTTAATGTTTGAGGTTATATTTTTGATTTTTAAGGGGGTGTTGTGTATGTTGTTCGCTTTCTGATATTGCCATAAAGCTTGAAGTGAAATCTTCAAACTGTCTGTGCCTGCTTTGTTTTGGGAGCCTTTTAGTGTAGTTTTCTGTCATTTGTGGTTAAATTGCACATCTCTGTCCTCAAAAATTCATTTTTAGAGATAGCTCATTTGTTGACTCTTCAGTTTCTTTGGATATTGTGTTCCCTTAAATGCTAGCCCTTAGAAGACATTTTCCCTTTCCTAGGAGAAATGAGCACCAAGGACTCGTCGTAATGTTGCTGTTAAGGCTGCGGTTGCATTTGCTAGGCTGTAATCCTAATTACTTTGCATGCAAGGAAAGAACGTGTGGGTGAGTGAGGAGTGCTGCAGTCCTGGTGTCCCTCCTCCCTGCACACAGCTCAGTGCCACAGGCGCTTGAAAGCCCACTTTCCATCGCCCCTGAGCATCCACAGGCACACTTCTACTCCCAGTTGCACAGTCCACATCCCTAAGCTTTTCCCTTATTCTGACTTATATCATTTTAAGGCAGAGGAAGAAGATGAAATTTTGAATCTTGAGCAGGAAGAAGCTCACTTTCATTCTTTATCAAACCATAAAAGTTTCTAGTATTGTCTGGTGAAATAGTGGTGGGGCTCCTCCTGGTCCTGTATTTGACACATAACCAGAATGCTTCCCAGGCCACCTCAGTTTATGACTACAAGGAGATTTCCACTAATACTCAGAATACTCAGAGTGGCTTTGTGATTGATCAATCTATCTATCTATCTATCTATCTATCTATCTATCTATCTATTGATTTCTATCATCTATCTATCACCTATCTATTATCTATCTATCATCTATCTATTGTCTATCATCTATCTATCTATCTATCATCTATCTCTCTATCTATCTTATTATCTATCTATCTAACTTATAAGTCCTTTGAGTTGCTTATGGGACTACCCAGGGTGGCTTATATTTTCTTAGAACTACCCTCCCAATGTTTATCTGTGTTGCACCTGTTTAAGGTCACTGTCTAGAAAATCATGTAAGGTCAGTCCAGGGCTCCTGAGCCACTTTGTCCATGGTTATCCACAGAGGTACAACTTTGCTTCATTGCATACTGCATTCCATTGCTTTCAAAGTTGTAGAACCAACAATGGTCAGTTGGGCCTTACTTTTTTTGACTTTTAGACATCACTGATAGAAACACAGTCCATTCTGTTTTAAACCCAAAGGAGAGAGTTTACTATCTCTTCTAGGTGAGAATAGAAGGGAAAGCTGGGCTACCTCTAACAGTATAATGAAGGCCAATAGGTCTGAGCCTTTTCCTATCTGGACAGTTGTCTATCTCTCCATTCTATTTTTCTCTGTAATAGGCTGAATTTACAGCAAACCCTCTTCATAGAGTGAAGACTTCTAGTAATTTCCATTTTATATAATAATTGGTGCAAATTGTCTTCATTAATAGTTCCAGAAAGAGTTCTGGAATTTAATCTCTTTGCCTGCTTTGTGTCATGTGCTCATCCCAGAACCAGCCACTATGACCAGGAGACAGGGCTTGAAGTAACCAGGTCCTAGGCATATTACTCCTCTGGGAATCAGAAAAGTTCAGCTTCACACAAGCCTCACAGACTGAGAAGTGGCAGGAGGCTTCCTTACCAATACTATGGGAATTCAGAGGCAATTGTGGGGGCCAGACTTGGAAGTGTTTCTTAGATGCTTTTTCCCCTTTGTTCTGATCCATAGGTTCTCTTCCTTAAAATTCAGTGAATGTTCCTTATCCTGTTTCTATATAGTGTTTTGGTCTTTGTGCAAATTTTCCCCAAAACTGTGAAAAAAATTTCTTTTTGCTTTTGTCTCAGTCTTGCTTTTCCACATAATTCAAGCTGGTCCCTGGAAGTCAGAAGAAAGTCAACTTCATGACCCCTCCCATCATTTACCCTATTCTCACAGGATGCTTTATGCAAAACTTTCTCTTCATTGGCTTGTAGTCCCCTACTGTATCTGAACTCCTGAAAACACACTCTTACCCATCGTTTAGTAGATATCACCTGTTGTACATGGGAATCATGTCCCCCTAAAGATATGTTCAAATCCTAACCATTGAAATGTATGACTGCAACAGTTTTTGGACATAAGGTCATTGCAGAAGTAATTAAGATGGGGTCATTCTAAAGTGGAATAGGCCTTGTAATCACTAGACTCCTAATGAGAAGAGCGACATTTGGATACAGAAACCTGCTCGGAGAGGAGAGTGCCATGTAAGGACACAGATGCAGGAGGCCAAAGAATGACATTTGAAATTGAGGCAGACACTGGAAGTGAAACCTTTTAAAGCCAAGGGATGCCAGAGGTAGCTGGCAAGCACCAGAAGAGAGGAAGGAGGTATGGGACTGACCCTTCCCTAGAGAATTCAGAAGGAACATGGCCCCAGTGATGCCTTGATTTTGGGACTCCAGACCATACAACTGTGAATATATTTTGTCATTTTAAACCATTCAGGTTTTGGTACTTTGCTATGGCAGCCGTGGGAAAGTAATACACTCCTATCTTTGCATCAGCATTTGGGCTCAGTGGGGATACAGCCCATTATAAAATACCAATACTAAAGTGGAGAGAACTGAAGCAATTTATCCCAAATACAATGGTGATTTAGTAATGGCAAACCAACCCAGGGCACCTGGAACCCCCCTTTCTCCACTGCCCACCACACATTGGGCTTTCTTAGTTGATTTTCTCCTTAAGTCTCAAGACATTTGGACTGAGTTTCAAGTCCAGCCCTGAGAAAAGAAATCATTTACTTATAGTGTAACAGCTAGTTACAGTGAGTCACTAACCTTGACAGAAAATCCTGGAGCTACTACAGGAGACCAACTCTGAGGCTAGGATGAGTCCAGTTTAGGGTCATTGGCAGAAAAGGGCGAGGAGACTACTTTGGGAGACAGAGTAGGGGATAGGTGCCGGGAATAACTTCAGAGCAGCAGGTTACTAGGATAGGTGTGTTTTGCTCCAAATGAGAGTTTCTTCAGATGCCTAGGTTTTGGGACTGAAGGTAAGAATAGAGACACTAGAAGTTCTTTTCCGAAGGTGTGGGCATTCCACAGACCAACAGGTCCCTAAATGAATCAGTGCCTGTTTTATAGCCCCATACTGAGACCAAACAAGTGGCCCTCAGCATTAAGTGATTACAGCCGGAAGAAGCTGCAAGCCTCTGTTATGGCTTGTATATAGATGTCCTCTGAAAGTCTCATATGTTCATAGATGGGGTTTTTAGGAGTTGGCTGGACCTACGGTATCTGAATATGGGTTGAGGCTTTGTGGTTACTAAATTAGTCCACTGACTGGTTTAGCATAGCTGCAGGTGTGCATAAGGGGAAGGCCCACCCTCAGTATGGATGGCACAATCAGTAGGCTTGTAGCCTGGATGGATTATCAAGGAAAAGATAAAATATAAAGGCAAAGATGCTGCTTCCTGCCTGCCTTGCCATGCAACATTTCTCCCTTGCCATGCCCCTCTGCCATGCAGCCCTGCCTTAGGACCAGTCGACCATGGACTGAAGCCTCAACAAGTATGAGCTAAAATAAATCTTTCCTAATTTAACTCGTGGGTTTTGAATATTAAAGTAACTAAGACACTCCTCATATTTCAAAGCTCCACACTTTTTCTGAGATCTTTTTCCCCCAGCTCAATGCTTTCATACCAGCAAAGAGAAGAGTAAGATGATTGTTATTCAGGTCTAGGACTTTCCTATTTTAAAATGCTTCCTTAAAAAAGGAGAATTTTAGTTTTTAAAGTCTTGTTAAACCTGGAAACACCACCTGCCTATAATCTCTCTTGGGACTAATGAAAGTAGAGTTTTCCCTCTAGGGAAATAATTCTGTACCTACAAGGAGTCCAAGCATGTTATGAAGATGGTAAGCAAATCTTGTTATTTCCAGTGATTTGTGAGCATGAGGTCTGAGACCTCCTCATTCTCTGTTTTTTCTCATGACATTGCCCTGGGTTTTGCCAGAATCACTGAGTGGGACAAGCTGAATATAGTTTAGAATTCCACTGAGGCTGGTGTACATAGGCTAATACATTAAACATTGCAAGACTCTGGGATATCAACAGGGTGTTTAGTTTCACATTTGAGTTCTCTACTCTAAAGAAGTACAATGAACCCACTAGCAGTAATCTAAGACATCCAGACAGCCCTAGCCATTTTATACTCTTTCAATGACAAAAGAATGCACACACACACACACACACACACACACACACACACACGCACACAGAAAAGTGTAGAAAGTTGGAGGTCATTCTCTTTGTCCCCTTCCTAACATTTTTTCCATTCGCCATACTATTGCTTTAGTATGTTCTCTTTGTGTACATAAAAAAGTAATAGAAAGAATAGGGCAGTAGGAAATGTAGGAAATATTTTGTTACCTAATAGAAGAAATTAGGTATAACAGCAGTGATCTTGCTGTGACTATTAATATTAGTCAAACACCTCTACATCAGTCATCATCTAAGGTTTGTGGCTGTCACCAGCTCAGAATACAATAGGAAATCGGTGGACATTCACAGGCTTTGCACCCTTCCATCCCATCCACGACAGGCCCACAGAGGAACAGTGCTTGGCAGATTGTTGCTTGTCGAATGAAGCTAGGATACCTTTTAGAGGAATGTAAATTAGATTAGGCTGTATCATTTATTATTATCTTTGAGATATTTGCAGATCATTGTAATTAGAGAAATATGGAAGAAAATTCGCTTAGAAAATGTTGATGGATAAACTCTGTACATAGTTGTGATGCATTAAAAATTCTTCTTGATACTTCAACATAGATTTATCAAAAACCCTTGTCCCTTTCAAACAAATTATAGAAAGGCGAGAAATTCAAAAAGGAATTTTGCAGTTTTCCCTGTATGGTATCACATTAGCTATTTCACTATGTGATAGAACTTCAGGGATTCCTTGTACATTACTCAGCCTTCTACTGCTTGTGACAAAATGCATGGGAAAATTAACTCAAAGGTGGAAAGGCTTATTTTGACTCACATTTTCAGAAATTTCTATACCTGCCTGGCTCCACTGCTTTTGACCCACTGCAAGGCAGTAAGATAACAAGGAACAAAGATACTTCCCTTATGATGGCCAGAAAGCAAGAGGAGGGAGCTGGGACTATATATAGGTCTCAAGGATTCATCCCAGTGACCCACATACTCCCACCATATCCCACCTCTTAAGTTTCTATTACCTCCCAATGAATGCCATCAACTTATACATTCATCAGTGGGTTACCCCACTGATGATCAGAGCCTTCATGTTCTAGTCACCTTCAAACTGCCTACCTCTGAAAGAAGCTGCAGTAGAGACCAAGCTTTTAACACATGAGCTTTTGTGGGACATTTCAGATCTAAGCCATAATGCATTTTCTCCTCAATACAATATCTCCTCAATCATGGCACCAGAGACATACTAAAGATCTCCACAGGGGAAAAGACATTTTGAAACTATGAAGTCATGCCTACTTTTGAAGACAATCTTTTATGTTCTGAGACAAGTTAATTTTGATAATGCTAGAGTGAGAAAATACTGATGTGTCCTAGATCTTATATAATAAAATATTGAAAATTTCCATTTTCTATCGTTGACTGCTGGATAGACTCCACTTTTAATGAGAAATCTATAGCATCATTTAATATTATTCCAAATAATATGTATACTAAGAGAAAAAAATTTTTTTTCCTGTATTGGTGCATACTGGAGCTGTTAGCAGACTGTGTCTACTTCTTGCATCTAGTTTTTAAAGTTTTTATGCTGACATCAGCCAATCAATGATTCTTCTTGTATGTGTTCATGACAGGCTGATAACTAAAGTGACACTCTAAGATGCCTACCTATAGGAGTGGCAGTTGATACCTAAAGAGATGGAATCAAACATTCAATCTACTCAGGTTCTTTGACTTAGATTTGTTATCCAACATTCAGAGCCACCAGAGACCAAGAGCAAATAGAATGCTTAAAATGGAATAAGCTTCTCTCTTCTTTTGTTTAATCTGCTGGTTATTTCTTCAAGTCTGTCCCATTATAGCCAGTGCAGAGAAACACTGTTAGTTACCCATGGAGAATGCTTCAGAAGCTCCCATGGATACTTCTACTCCAGTAACACAGCAAAAGTAGAGTCTGCAGACTACGTACTCCTCCTCAAGCCTCCTGTAATTCATCCATGGTTTCATTAAAAAATCATTGACCCCTTTCCTGCCTCTGTTAATTTTCTCCCCAAACCATTATTCACTTCTTTCTCATTATCTCCAGTAGAATTATATCCTAAAACACAAATCTTGGAGTCACACAGAGAAACAAAACTCTATGAACATTAGTTTCAGTAAAGGTGAAGTCAGGAAGTGATTATTATAGGTCTCTACTGCTTACTCAGTATTCCATTATCCAGTCTGTTCAGCCTCAGTGCAAGGGAGTGATCCATGTGTGGTACCTTTGGATTCACTGTATGAAGGGAGTGCTAGCACACAGCCTGCACAGGTGGTAGCTCTGACCCTGTTTGATGAGACGCTCTTCTGCTGCGTGTCCTACCCAGTGTGTCATCAGTGATGTGTCTTTGATAAAGTATAGTATAGTCCCAGTTTTCTCATATTAAAAATGGGACTATAACTTATCCTTTGGAGGCTTATTATTTGAAAGTAATATATGTAAAGTGGCTGACCCAGTTTTAGTATAGGGTAAATACTTACTAGGTTCACCCTTTTCCCTTTTTGGATTATATGCTCTGCAAAAAATAGAGACATGTTTTCATATCCTTCCTGGGGCTCCCACTCTACAGGACAGCAGTCTACACATGGAAGTTATTATTTGTTGAATGATACTTGTTTAAATATAATCAGTGAATGAATGGAGTAGATTCCTGGCTCAGCCATGGTTGACTTTGTCGTATATTTTTGAGAAAAGAACACGCAGGGAAGCCTGATGTCTATTGTAGGCATGAATACCAATGTGTGATTAAAGCTGAGTACTAAAGAGAGAACCTAAGGTTTTTGTTTTATGCTGAGCTTGTGCGATGATTTGACCCTACTTAGAGTCAGGACAAGGGCAGCGCAAATGGAAGACTGAAAGAATTTATTAACTGAGGAGGAGATGTAATCTGTAGATTTATGGCAGGATGAGTGCAGTGTGATTTATAGAGGAAAACTGCACATGCCCCTCAATGGCATTAAGCTCCAGGAATAGGATGCCCAGATTCCCTCAGTAGAGACTGCTAAGTTTCTATGCTTGACTCTGAGCTTGTTGTCAAACAATGTAAATCATGAGATCCCGTGGTATACCTTGCTCACAGACAAAAACTAAGCAAGCAGAAACAAAAGATAATAAATAACTGCCATACATTGTTATACCTGAAAATAGAAGTCATTGAGTTGTGTGGCGACAAGAGCTTAGAGGTCATGGTGGTTTTATATTCACTGAGTTTGTTCAGAGCCTAGTATGTTCCCTGTACCTCTTCTGAAGGAGAAATAAGAAGTTAACTGAGGCTTTCTGTATGTATATTTTATTTTTGCCAGTTAATAGTGTGGACTTGGAGGTATGAAGCAGTGAAGTAGTTACCTTTTTTTTTCAGTTGCCCTGAACTTAGTATTTTCAATGCCATGAAAATGTCATCACGTTTTCCTGCATGATGCCTATTTATGGGTAGTTGGTCCTAAAAGGAAGAAGCTAAGTATTTCTTTTAAAGATAGGCTCTGGGTTATGCTGGGATCACAAAAATTCAAATAAAGTCAAGTACTTTTGACTTTATCTACAATTCCTTCCTAGCTTTGTACTATTGCAAGCAAGCTCAGTTCCCTCTTGTGTCCTGAAACCACATGTCCACAATACGCTAGGCTCCCGGTATTTCTCTGTTCACTTGGAGCTTTGTGCCTTCCCTAATAGTCTGACAAAATTGAGAGACATGAGCCTGGCTTTGTCACCTTTCCACTTACTCACTTTTCCTTCTCCTTCCCTTGTGGGAAGGGTGAAAGATAGCTAACTCTCATTTTATGAATTGAATGTTCTCGATATTCCTGATAAATTCTTTTCTTTTAACCTACCCTAAGGAATAAATAATAGTTCCTTAAAACATTATGTATGCATGAGATTTAAGTTGAATTTGTTTAAAAAATAGAAATTGAAGGAATTAAATTGGTTAACTGAATTTGGTGGATAAACAATAGAAAATAAGGCATGGGATCAGTGGGAGCTGTACATAGCTTTTAAAAGTGATGGGATATCATGAGAGCCAAAATTAAAAATCAGGACCGACGGGTTTTAGCTGGTTCTAGTCATTCACTCTTTTTTTGGGGGTCACTTTTGTTTTTCACATGTAAATTTGTTTGTACTGCTCACTAACGGACAGATTTATTTTATTTTATTTTATTTATTTTATTTTATTTTATTTCTTGTACTAGGGTTCAAACTCATGACCCCATGCTTACCAGGCAGGCACAGTACCTCTGAGTTATATCCCTGGCCTGATAGATTCTATTTAATAGTAAAACATACATTGCTGGTGTCTTGGACAAAATTGAAAGGGTCCACATTCTGTCACAAGAACAGTGAACAGAAACTGAATAATAGCCAAGCTTTTTAGAGCAAGCCTCCATCCTGCAACTTCCAGAAATTCTCATTTCTGTCCATGCTTTCACGGTTGATCCATTTCCTCCAACGTGTACCTGCTTTGCGTCTATCGATGTTGAGTTTATGGCTTCATAGGCCCATAGTTCTCTGGCTTGTGGACATTTTCCCTTGTCTTATTGTAGATTGTTTTAAAAGTTTAATTACTAGTTCATTTTCAGGTCCCCATCTTTATCCAGGGTAGAGAATGCAGTCTAAAGAGATACTGCCTTACTCAGCTGGCTGATGTGGATAACAGTGAAGCAATTCAGAGGAATCTCAAAGGAGGGAGCTCTGACTGGTTAGGGAACAGGAATGTGCCAAACTACGGATAGATTTCCACTTAATGCAGAGTAACAAGACTGAGAAAAATAATAACAAAGCTGGGTACGGTGGTGCACCCCTGTAATCCCAGCACATGGGGAGGCTGATGTAGAAGGATTTCTGTGAGTTCGAGGCCAGCCTGGGCTACAAAGGAAATTCAAAACCAACCTCAACTGCATAGTAAGACCTTGTTTAAAAAAAGACAAAAAAAAAAAAAAAAATCCCCACACAGAGCAAAAAGACAATGTAGATTTTTCTGTAATAAGGTAATTTTTGTGAGTCTTCAAGTATTTCACTAGTCTGTCTATACCATTGGGTACATACTATTTATGGTTTATTTGATTATATCTGGCCTTTCCAACTTGCAGGTTGAAATCTCTTAGAAGACAAGAGTTTATATTCTCCTTTTCGATTTTTCCTTTTCTTTTCCACTTCTCATACACTAAAACAAATCAAGATAATGCAAGCTTTGGAGGTGTGAGTATTCATAAAATGTTTCATCTCTCTGCTAGGAGCTGGTTCCTGGCCTTGGTGGGATAAGAGTGGAATCCTGTGAAACCTTTGTTTTATCTTATTTTTAGGATTTAGGATGCGGCAGCGCCATGTCCTTATGGAATCCACAGGGCCTGAGGGCCACTGCCCTCATTTGGTGGAATCTGTTCCTTGTGAGGACCCAGTGTGTTATCGATGGTTGGCATCAGAAGGAATCTGTATCCCTGATCATGGAAAATGTGGCATGGGACATCGCATCCTGAAAGCCGTCTGTCAGGATGAGAAAGGTATGACCCACTACACACAGAGACACTGTATTATATTGGCGGATAGACACATTGCCACACCACAAAGGTCGGTTTTTAGAGGGAGAGAAATACTGGCTTTCCTGTCCTTCAGTAGTTATGAGGCAGTCAAGGGACACATTGCACAGAATGGTCTGCAGTCACTTCATGTGGGGACACATACTCCATAGTGTAAGAAAATTATTTGATTATTCCCTAAATGCAGTGCCCTGAACCTAGAGATTTTTCTGGATTCCTTTTTTAGCTTGTCCAGACAAATAGACAGAAATCTCCTGCATAATCTTTGATTAATTAATACAAAATATGTCTCATTCGTTTGTTTGGGAGTCAATATGTAACATGCCTTCATATATTATTAACAAATGCTACTGATAAAGATATCAAGGTTAGAAAAAAACCCACACTAAATGAAATCTTTTCATTTTTGTAATGTTAAACTAGAACGAATTCTAGATACAATATTAACATTTCCAAAGAGCCATTTTTAAATACAAGTTGCCAAGATTGACAAAACTTAACAATAATGTCTTTCCTTGATCACCGAGCTTCCGATACAGTGGTTGCTGGAAATGAAGGGTGATTTAAAAAACATGCAAGGTGCGTGGCAATGAGAAAAGTGACATTTAGAATGTTTCTCCCAGAGATTGAAAAGAATTCAGCCTCCTGGCAGAATATTGAGCATATCTAATCAGTTCTGCCATGAGAAGCCCCATTGATAGTACTCCTGGTGTGTGGGATGAAATGTTTTGACTTATGGTGCTGAATAATCCATTGAACAGAAGGAAATTGCAAAGTGTATTCAAGGTGGATATTAGCATGCACACAGGTTGACACTCAGTAAAATAATTCCTTCCTCCCCCCACTTTTCCTTTCTCTTTTCTCATTTCCTTTCTTTTTTCCTTCTTTCTCTTAAATCACTATAATCATTAGGCAAATATAAATTTTTAACCCATGACTATCTGGTTACCTTTAGAAAGCAGATGATTGTATAATTAAAAAGAGGGTGATAACAGCAGAGAGAGGAGCAGTAAATAGTTAAAACCAATAGTGACTACTTTGAATATTACCAAGCAATGCTTTCATTGTGGTAACACATGCCCCTTCCTGCCTGTCTTTCTTTCTTTCTTTCTTTCTTTCTTTCTTTCTTTCTTTCTTTCTTTCTTTCTTTCTTTCTTTCTCTCTCTCTTTCTTTCTTTCTTTCTTTTTCTTCCTTCCTTCCTTCCTTCCTTCCTCTCTCTGTCTCTCTGTCTCTCTGTCTCTCTGTGTGTCTCTCTCTCTCTGTGTCTCTCTTTCTCTTTCTCTTTCTCTGTCTCTCTCTCTCTCTCTTTTGCTGTCTCTCTCTCTGAGACAGGGTGGTGTTGCTATGTAAAACAGCCAGGACTTGAACTCACTATATGGGCCAGGCTAGCCTTGAACTCATGGTGATCCTCCTGCCTCAGCCTCTCAAGTGCTAGGATTACAAGCATGCATCACCACTCCTGGCCTGCATAATTTATTAACATGAGCAAATAAGAGCACATTTATTATATTGTGATTATTAATAAGAAAAATATATTTTGGCTTTCATTACAAATTCTTGGCACAGTGATTCTGAAATCCTTGCAATTTCCTGACCTATTGGGGGTATGAGGAGAGTCTTTTTTTCAAACATTTGATATTTGGTCCTGGCTTCTGATACAGAGCCCCAAAGTACCTTGGAATTTCCTTGGGTGTAAAGAATGTCTTTTGTTCGCATTAGCTGACTCCCTTTGGATCCTTCATGGAGGTTTGTCATCAGAGAGACCAAACCATGACTAAAAGCTTGAGACTTTCAACCTTTCCGTACCTCTACTGGGAAGTGGGAAGGGGAAGGTGATAAAGTTAAAAATCAATAATACTTACGTGCTGAAGCTTCTATAAAGATCTCTGAAATATGCTGTTTAGATGTCTTCCCAACTGCTGAGCATATGGAGTTATTGGGAAGGCTGTGTGCTCAGAGAGGGCATGGAGCAGCCTTACCCATTCTCTATGCCTTATCTTCTGCATCTCTTCCATTTGACTAGACATCCACATCCTGTGTGGTATCCCATATAACAAGCCTGTAAATAGAAGTGCAGTATTTCCCTGAGTTCCCTGAGCCATCTGGGGAAATTGTGGAACCTAAGGACTTGTGAAAATCTTAATTTATAACTGATCTGTCAGAAGCACAGATGACAGCCTAAAACTTATGCTTGCCATCTTAACTGGCAGGGGTCTTTGGGGACTGGGCCCCTAACTTGGATTTGATACTATCCACAAGGAAGTAATGTGGAAACTGAGTTGAACTGCAGATCATCTACTTAGTGTTGTGAAATTACTTAATATGGAGAAAAACTGAACTAGTCACAGAAATAGTCTGTTGAGTGTGGTGTTAGAAGTAAGTTGTAGAAGTTTAAAACCTGGGCTCTGAGAGTCACACAACTCAGAATATTAACTTTAAAATTTACTGGCTAAATGGTCTCAGGGAAACTATTTAATTTGTGGAAGTATCCTTTCCTTTAGCTGTCAAAGGGTATACTAGAAGCTACCACTTACTGTCAATATTGTGAGAGTTAAGTTAGTTACATAAAAGTGAATCAGTGATGCGTCTTTCAAAATAGTCTATAAAAAACCAAAATAGGCTATAATCTTATTTTATTTATCATGCACATTTATCATACTTTGTAGAAATTGTACAAAGGGTATTTTTTTTTTTTGGAGACAGAGTCTCACAAACTTCTTACACTGCTCAAACTTGCTCTTGTCCTACCTCAGCCTTCCAGAGTGTTCTGATTACAGAGCTGTGCAACCAGTATTCCTTTGTAAAGTGAAAATGACAATGAGAATTAGAATAAACATTGCTTACTCCTTCCTTGTATTCTCCAGGTAAAGAAACAGAAATATCATTACTTTGATTAGGACCCAACTATCATGCTTTGTTATTTCATAGCAGGTATAAAATGCTATTATACATCTTTGTAGCAAGGAATTTCTATCATTAGATATGCTGTGCCTTTTTCAGTAGCTGCAGAGGTATTAACTCTACTATGTTACAGCAGTTTTAGAGCTTCATTGCTTATTCATGCAAAAGGACTAATTTTCAGATTTTGACCTATACTCCCAATGTCCATGGAGAGAAAAGTAGGAATTAATGCTTGCTCATATTAGCTCCATGAAGCCTTTGAGGTTTTTAAGTGCCTCGATGAACATCCTCATTGTTTGTGGGATGACAGCCATAGTCATTGGATGGGAATCTGCTGACCTCTTCATAGCTGAAGCAGTCTTATGTCCAGTGAGAATTTAAAAATGCAGTCTGGTTGTACTTTTGTTATTTAGCTTCTGTGTGATTCTGGATGATTGATGATGGAGGCCTGGCAGAGAAGTGCTCCTGTCTGGCACTCCAGGTATTATTTGGGTGTTTGCATAGCTACAAGAATTTACTTTGCAGTTGACATTCATTGAAATACCTGGAGAGGAAGAAAAGGCTTAAACATAAAATCTCCAGAGGTTTTTTCTTACAACATTTGGCAGTTTTCTTTTTATTATAACTGACTTTATCCTAGACCCTTTATTTCAGAATTTGTTGAGAGCTAAGTGGGTGAGAATTTGTTGAGAGCTAAGTGGGTGAGACCAAAAGAAATAATCTTATATTTGATTAAAATAAACTCAATACATTACAGCCGATGCAGCCAGATTGAGGCTTACTAGAATTTGCAAATGTGACTTGGTTTATCATCAATTTTTAGTCACTTCCATATTCCCTGGATAGAAAGGTATATAGAAAGAGACATTCAATATTCTCACAGAATATGAATATCCCATTCAAATGTGAAGCCAAGAAATTTCTACACAGCCATGGTCAGCATGACTCGTGTATGGCTCTTGCCAGTGTTCCATTGGCATTTGTTTTTCCCAGAAGATTGTTGAGACCATTACCTTGGAAACTTCAAAAAAATCTATGTCACATTTACTCTTCGGTGGTTTCCTATCATTTCACAGTGTCTATCATACCTCCGAGTTTAAATTAACTCTTTCAAGTTTTACACTAGTGACACAATGCGGTGCTTGCACATGTATGTTTGATTTATTTCACTTATGAGTATGGTCTCTAGTTGTGACCATTTAAATATAAAG